GAGGGAGACTTGGTGGAGGTGCTCAAAGAGGTGAGATATGGGGGGAGCATGGTGGCCAGAGTGAAGGCTCAGCATCCAGAACGGTGGGCCAGGTGGGGGGGATCTGGGTGGGACTGAAGTGTCAGGGGCCTGAATCTGCCATGGTGGCAGGGCACGGTGGGCCCCAGCAGTGAAAGTGCCTTCCCTAGAACTGGGTCCTAGCACGTGCTGGGAGTGCTTGCACAGGGCAAGGAGGGCCAGTCTAGTCCTGTGAGAATGGTCCACTCTCCTTGTCCTTCCTCCTGGGAACAGCCCCACCCTCCCTTCTCCACCTGGGCCTGCCAAGGCCTGAGAGGCCACTTCCCCCAAGGCATCTTGGCCCAGCCATTCCTTCCCAAGGCAGGACCTCAACTGGGTGTGGATGGAGCTAGAGGTGGACTATATCCACCCTCCAAAAGAGGAGGGATTATCACCATTCTCTCCCAATGGGACCTTGGATAAGGCACGTTCCCCTCACTGGGCTTCTCTTTCCTCATTATTACAATGACATTGAACCTGTAGTCCCCAAATACAGGAACTGGGCTGGCTGCTGCAGAATCACCCAGGGAGTTTGCTAAAAATACAGATGCTTCAGGCCCCACCCTCAGAGAATAGGATACATTAGGCTGGGCAGGGGTCCAGGAAGCTGTAGTTTTAGTAACCCAGGTATGGGAATCCTGCATGGAGCAGCCCTCCCCCAGTTCCCACAGTCACACTGGGAGCCTGAAGATGCATTTATCAGGATGCCCCAATCCAGGCTTCCAGCTTCCCCATCTTCCCCCCTTGACTCAGCTAGATCAATATTGACCATTGGCCTCTCCCCTGACTGAAACTTCTGCCACCCCAATTCCCAAAGCTCTTTGAGACCCTGACCCTAGGTCAGCAGAGTCAAGGTCAGAGCAAAGCTTGGGGCCCAGATGATTTTACTGCTGTGCCCACTCCCAGCCTGCATGCCCTACTCCTCCCGGTTTGGCAGGGCATCCCAGCTCCCTGTAGAAACCATCAGGGTTCCTAATCATTAAACCCATCCTGCGGGAGGAATGAAACCTCCTTCCCACCAGGCTGAGCCAATCCCAAATCCACCTCTGAAGAAGGGTCCGCTGCTCCCCTCCCTAGCTCCCATTCACGGTCCCTAGCAGGTGAAAGGGATGGGTGGAGGCAGAGGGCTCCCTTTTGCTCACCTCTCTCCCCTGAGGCACCTCTGTGGAGCCCACTGTTCCTGTTCAACGCATTGGTTTTACAGATGGGGACACTGAAACCCAATCTTCAGGACACATTGCCATGAATTGGGTGGTGTTGGCAAACCCTGGTCAGTCCCTGGCTCCAGGCAGGCCAACCCCTGGCCTCCTTCTCCTTGGGCTGGTAGGAGGTGGGAGCTGAGCCTCAGTTTCCTCATGTGTACAAGTGACAGCTGGCTAATGAGGACCATCCCACCTAGAGGGTTTCTGCATGCCACATTTTGCACTAAGCACTTTGCTAATTTTTAAAAATATGCATTGAGCATCTATATGATCTCATTTAATCCCCTGCAAGGGGAAAACTATTTTCCCCATCTTACATCTGAGGACACTAGGGTTCTGAGAGGTGAAGTAGCAGATTCAGCTGGGATTTGGCTCTGACCAGCAGATGTCCAAGTCCGCCTTGGCTTCTAGTGGCTCCAGTTTGCTAGGGGTTGCAGTTCACAGAAGCTGTGGACTTTAGTGGGAAAAGGCTTGCTTTCCTCCAAATGAAAAGTGGTCTAGGGTGGGGCTGCTGGGAGGAGGCCTCCCTGTGGCCAGAGGGGGCAGGCTGCTGCCCTGTCCCAGGGGAAAAGGCCAAGGCAGCAGGAAGTCAGGAGGAGATGGAGCAGGGGGATGCTGGCCAAGGATCCGAGGGCGGGCAGACGGCCCTGGACAGCCTTCTAGGGCAGGACCAGCGTCAGCGAGGCCTCAGGCCTGGAGGGAGTGTCCTGGAGCTCAAAGAGCCAAACTTTCCATGAGCCACCAACAAAAAATGAGTCTGGAGGACAGCATCCACCACAGACCCCAAGGCTCTGCAACCGAGGTCACGAGGGATTCAGAGGAGGGCCTGCAGCTGTCTTAACTCCTTGTTGGTTATCTCCAGGGCCACCAAAGAACTACATTCAGTTTGATGCTCCATCGTGCAGAGCTGTGAACTTGCCCTGTGGGATCACTGGCACAAGCCAGAGGTGAGGAAAGTACAGCCTGTGTCCTGGAGGAGTGGGTGGAAGGGCAGAGGCCATGGACACAAATGTGGACCTTCAGTCAACAAGCATGTATCACATGTCCACCAAGCCCTAGGCCTGTGCTGGAGCCCACAGCATTATCCCAAACACATACTACAAAGTAGGGGCTGTCATTACCAACACTTTACAGGTAAAGAAGCTGAATCTTAGAAAGGTTAAGTGATCACACAGCCAGGGAGGGGTGGAGTTGGGAATGAACCCAGGTCTGTGTGGCTGAGCAGCCTGGGCCCTCTGCAGAATGTCCTGCTGCCACCCCAAAGTGCTGTGGCATCCAAGGAGCACAATACAAAAGTCTAAACTACATGGAAATGAAATGCGTTGTCCATGCGAGCTCCCTGGACAGGCAGGGCCGGGCCGTCAGGACTCACCAGATGTAGGACTGAGTCACAACCCCTGGAGATTCCAGCAGTCCACATCTGGTTGGGGAATGGAGGAAGGCTTATGGAGGAGGGACCTAGAAGGATGGCTAGGATCCCAGCGGGTGTATGGGAAGACAATAGGTCAGGATGGAAGGAACCGTCTAAGCAAAGGATGGGAGGTAGGACAGCCTGGGCCTGCTCAGGGTACAGGGCGGAGATGAACTTGGCTGGGGTGGCGGAAGGGAACACAGGGAGCTGGGCCTACTGAGGACCAACACTAAGGTAACCAGTGTGACCCCTGGTGTCTATTGACCCTCACTTGACTTTGGGAATACGGCTGACCCTAATGGTGTGGGGAGGAGCCTCTACCCCCTCCCCCCTCCATGTTTGCTCTCAAAGATCATAGGCCAGAAGTGACTGTGGATGGTCCAGTGCCTCATCACAGTATTTCTGGGTGCCCAAGGGAACACCTTCTCTGACAAGTCCAGAACAGAAGTGAAGGGCCCAGGCTACCCTCCACCACACCCCAGCCTGACACCCATGCTGTCTCCCAGAGCTCCCCACCAGCCTCCCAAGTTTGGGGCTCCATGGACACAGAGATCAGCTGAGAGAAGAGGCAGAGGGCCGAGTGGGGGCGGAGAGTCCTGGCACCTGGCCTCAGCTCCAGCACATTCCAACCTGGGACCTCAGGCAAGCCCTGCCCTCTGGCTGCTCATCCTCTAAGTCTCCAGTGCCACCAGCCTGCACAGAGAGGTCAAAGGAGGGCCCTAACTGAGCCATGTTGTTTTACATCTTTTGAATGGGTTGCCCACATTTCAAATTGGGAAACTTTTCATGTAAACCTAGACTTCCAGCTACTCTTAAAAAGCCAAGAGATCTGGCGGCCTGGACCCACACTTCTGAGAAATAGTCTCCCTCTTAGGACAGGAGTGCTGTCTTCTCTAGTTCACTGCAGTCTCCAGCACTCCCTCTGGTCTCTCCAATACTCACTAATGGGCCGTTGCCACTTATTCTCCCACTCACACCAACAGCTTGGCTCACCCAGGTTCCCTGAACAGCTCTGCAGGCATTTGGGTTTGCCACCTGCTAGGATAGTCTAGGATTTCAGGCAGGGGTCGCACTCTGGGCAGGGCTGACATTTCCTTTGAGGTGCTTACTATGCTGTCACGGATTCCTCCAACTGGGACTCCCCAATCTCCTCTCAGCTCCTACTACAGTCAGGGCCTGATCGGGGTCTGTTCTGAGCCAGGGAGACCTGAAATCCATAAAGGGACCAGGATGGGAGCAGCTGGGAGATGGCATGGGCAGGCAGCAGAGGGAGAAGGGTGTCACTGCAGGAAGGGCTGTCTGAGAGCAGCGGAAATGGAAAAAGCAGAACAGACTGGAAGATGAGGCCAGGGAGGGCAGGATAGGAACCGCAGGCCCAGAGGCAGGGGTGGGTGAGAAGGGGGGAGAGCACGCAGGGGGAAGCAAAGCTGGTGAGATACTGAGACTCCTAGGATCCTTCACTCCTGACTCCCAGGGCACCTGGCTGCAGCCAAGAGGCTGCGTGAGTAATGCTCACAAGACCATGGCCAGTGCCTGGGGCAGAGAGCGCCTCTCCCCAGCCAGGGGCCAGCGCTAGGGGCCTTGCCTGTGAGGCTGGAGCCTTCCTCTGGGTGTGGGAAGAAGCATCCTGAATCGTGAAGGCCTTTCTTGCATCGTCTGCAAATTAGCAAATTCATCTCTTTTCCCTAGCCAAGAGCCCCAAACAAAGAGGGGTTGAAGGGGGGCCTGGCCCTTTGTTAGGGGTAATTTATTAATATCTAAGATATGCAGCCACCCTTCCTTTCCACCCCCAATCAAAGCCTTTGCAAACACCTGGACCTCGCATTTGAAAGGCCCTGGGACTCTTTTATATGACAAGGCCCTGCCAGGAGGGGGTGGGTACAAGCAGGAAATTCTTCCAGCCTGGGAAACTTGGCTCCTCCCAGGCCTGGTCTTCCAGCTCCAGCTTTTACCTGCAGGAAAGGCTGAGGAGGAGCTGGAGAGGGAAAGAAAGCAGCTGGCTGGGGAAAGCAGACAGCTGAAGTGCCCTGATGTGCCGCCCCTGCCCCAGGCTCTGCCTGCCTTAGCTGGGTGACCTTGGGCAAGTCTCTTCCCCTCTGTGGGCCTCCTGTTTACCCACAGGGCACCAGGTAGTCTCTAAGGGCCTAGAGTTCACCTTCCTTCCCCAGCCCCACCCACCCAACACTGCCACAGGGAAATGGTAGAGCAAGTGTCAGGAGCCAGGAGAGCAGGGAAAGGAGCTAGCTGAGCCTCAGTTTCCTTATCTGTCCAATGGGAGCTGGAAAGCACTGGCTGTCTGTCTCACGGCTCTTGGCAGTAAGGAGACAGGGTAAGGAGGATGACCTCATTTGGTGTTTATTAACAATAAACTAACAGAACACAGATGGGTTGGGGAAACACCAGGAGACATGGCACAGAGGCTGGCCACAGTGGCACAGGGTGTCCTGCCCCATTGGAGGACACTGTGTGCAGGAGACCTGCACAGGTGTCTCTGCACCCAAACCCCCATCTCTCAGGGACCCCAGGTACTGCGAGCTGTCCTTGCTTCTTTCCCTCCACCCCCATGCCAGGCCCTGGGACCTGCACCCTGGAGCAGAGTGGGCAGCATCAGGACCAGACAGCCTTGTGTTTGGACCATCTCTGATGCTCTTGGTTGCCCTGGTCATCCACAGCCAAGGCCAACTTGCCAGCAGCACCTGGAGCTGGAGGAGACAATGAGGGCCGGCAGGGCAGGGAGAAAGGAAGAGAGGGGCCTCGGTTCCTGACAACGACCCCTCGTTCCCATCTCTACAGCTTGTGCAGCACAACCCTCCCTGCCACGGCGGGCACGGGGTCCAGCAGGTGAAGGGGTGGCTCTTCTCTAAAGCATTGGCTCCTCCTTTCTTTCCCCACCCCACCCCAATGCCCTAGCTCAAGCCATCAGTACCTCTTGCCTGTCCTCCACAGGCCTCCCACCTCCACCTTGTCCCCCTCTAATCCACCCTGCACAGACCCAGACCCAGATATTCTGTATCATGCAAATCCCCCGCCCACACCGTTTCTCCTGGCTCCCCACTCCCTGTTATTCTTCATCTGACTTAAACCCTCTTATAACCTGGCAACACCAATGTCTCCAACCACTCTGGGTCTCTGTCCCAACCAGGCAGCTCCTGGACCAGAGGCCCTCCCCACCCTGCCCTCCTCTTCCTCTCTCTCTGCAAACCTGCCCCATTCTCCAGGGCCCTCAGCTCCCGCCTCCTTTGAGAAACCAGGCCTGCACATATGGACCCACAGGGATCTTTCTCCCCACTTGGCTTACTGACCTTCAATCCCCAGGGCCTCGGGACCCTCACTGCCCTGAACCTTCCTGCCCCGGCTCAAGATTCTGGTTGTGTTGAAGTGTGGGGGACTGGCTCCCTGAGAAAAGGGAGAGGTGTGGGCCCTGAACACAGATGAGACAGTGGTGCCAGCTGCCCCATGGAAAAGGGAGGTGGCTGGTCAGAAGACCTGGGGTCAAGTCCTCTCTGCCATGTGACCTTGGGCAAGTCTCTTCCTCCTTGGTCTCAATTTGTCCATCTGCAAAGTGAGAGCTCTACTGGATCATTCTCAGCTTTGAATGGGTCTGTGCACGTGCGTGTGCAGGGGGTTGACAGGTTTCAGGAGAGGCAGAGGCCACAAGGAGGGACTTGCCCTGGGGAACTGGCATTGCCGTGGCAACCTCCCAGAGCCTCTCAGAACCCCAGAGGGCAGTCTGCCCCTTACAAGCCCCCAGGAAGGGACCGTGAGGTCCTAGGCAGGGCCTTCTCTCCGCCTGCCTCGGCCTCACATCATAGATTCCTCCTCTTCAGCGATCTCGCGGTCCACCTCGATGGCCGTGTTCTCGAAGCTGGTGATGCCCCCGTACTTGCGCATGTGCACCATCAGTGGCTTGGGTGACTGGCTACCGGCCAGGGTGGCCACATACATGCCGGTCCGGTTCTCCTCCAGCGATGGGCCCCAGTCCATGGCCGGCCGGCTGGCCTGCTGGAGCCGCTGCAGCAGAGCACAACAGCGGTGAAAACGGCCAGCACTGGTACAGCGCTTGCTGTGGCCAGGCGCCCAGCAAAGACCTTACCACATCACCTGGTCCTTGCAACAACCCGGGGCTGGGGAGCACTGTGACTTCCCAAAGAGAGTGGTTCATGTGCCTGAAAGAGAATCTTGCTCTGTCACTTATAAACTGTTGGCCTTTGTCAACACAATTAGGGCTCTCCGTGCTCTGCTTCCTGACCCTGGATTGGGGGATCCTGAGCCCCTCTTAGGGTTGCTGTGAGGGCACCAAGAAGATACTTAGCAGGGGGCCTGGAACAGGTTAAGGCCTGGTAGGTAAATGGTGGTTGTCACGATTATGCAGCAGGCCCCTCTTCTGAGTGTCTGAAGGCCTATCCAAGAACTCACTCTGGATCCCTTCCCTCACATGCTGAGTCCTACAGAGCTGGGGGCTTTTGAGAAAGGGGCATGAGCCAGGAGAACTGAGGCGGGATCACAGCTGACCTTCCTGGTCTCTCCCAGCCCTGACATTCTGCCTCCCTCTAACTCTGCCTCTGACCTTTCCCTCTGGGAAAGGCCCCATTTCCATGGAAGGAGAGAACTAGGGTGATCACAAAGCATGGACATTCCAGCATTCTCTCCTCAAGCCACATTCCCAAAGCCCTCTCTGCCTGCCCTGCTGGGGAGAGGAGCCCCAGGACCCTTAAAGAAAGGGAGGCAACTAGCATTAAGTGAAGCCCCTGGGTGCAGTTTCCAAGGGAGATGATGTATGTAATGCCCTTAGCCCATGGCCAGCACAGCTGGGTACTCCCCGCCTAGTGAGACTTATGAAAATGTACTGAGAGCATGTTACCCCACTGCTCAAAAACCTGCTGATGGCTTCTCAGCTCACATAGAATGAAATCCAAGGTGTTTCTTTGGCCTCCATGACCTCCATGACCTGCCCCTGTCTACCGCCTCGACCTTGGCTCCCGCCACCCCTCCTCCTCTCCCCCTGCTCCAGTCATACCAGCCTTCTTGCTGTTCCAAACATGCCATCTCCTCCTGCCCCAGGGCCTTTGAACCTGTTGCCCTTCTGCCTGGAACGCTCTCCCAGTTATCTATATGGATCGCTCTGTCCATTAGTCAGCACCTCATCACCTCCTCACAGAGGTCTTCTCTGACTTCCTGGCCAAGATAAAATTGTCCAACCCTCTCTATTCCTGCACTCTCATTTCGTCTCTGTTTGTCTGTTTAAAGTCTAGCACTTACCACAGCCTTTGTGTGTGTTTATTGCCTGTCTCCTACATTAAAATACAGGCTCCCTGAGAGCAAGGACTTAGATTACAGTTTGGTCTGGAGAATTCTCTGAGTGGGGCTGGCCTGTGCATGGAAGGATGTTTAGCAGCACTGACCTCTGCCTACTGGATGACAGTAGAACTCCCTCGTACACCTATCCCCTCCATGACAACCTGTCCTGAACTTTTTAAATACTCTGCTTTTCTGCCTCCCACGATGTTGTGTATGTTGATAAGTTCCTTTTCTTCTCACAGCAGCCCTGTGGGTAGTTATCACTGTCTCCACTCTAAAGATGGAGACACCGAGGTTCAGAGAGGTACGGTAACTTGCTTAGGGTCACTCAGCTGGCAAATGGCAGAACCAGGATTCCGATCCTAGCGTGTCAGTGCTGGAAGCCATGGTCCCTGAAGTCAGCACTCCTGAGCCAGGCAATGACTTCTCTGCAGGGCTCATCGCCCCCCTCAACCCCCCAACAACACATCCCTCCACTTGGCTGTGGCACCAGGACAGGAGGAGGCAGTGGCTTCTGGGGAGCCCAGCAGTCCCAGTGGCTCATTAGCAAGGCTTGAGGACCACAAGCTTCCTGGGAACTGGTGCCCCTACTGGAACAACTCCCATCTTCCTTCCCTTTGCAGACACCACGGCTCTCAAACAAGGAGACAGGGCCCTTTAGTAGCACAGGGGAGGCTCCTGAGGTGCAGAGACAGGAAGGAGTTTACCCCAAGTCACATAGCAGTTGGAGGCAGAATAGTGGCTGAACTCCAGGCCAACCCTGTGGCCCAATTCTGCTGTGCAAGGGTGGTAGGAAGGGCACTGAGCCTCTCTCCAGGTGGAGACACAAAGGTGAGGTGAGGACAGCTGAGGGGCAGTGCAGCTCCGTGGGGGCAGGGTGGGGGTGGTCGGTTGCATGCTGGTAAGCAGATCGCAGGTGGGGGCGGGGAGAAGGCCTGCATTGTAGCCTATTTCAGTGGCATAAGTATTCCCACCACTGTCAAGTGCAAGCTACCAGTGCTTTGTCAACTGGCTCACAACATTCCTGGATATTTAACAGTTAGCTCTCCTGAATCAGTGCTAGCTGGCTCCAGCACTCCTCTGATGGGATGTACTGGTGGGAGGTCCCCAGACTCTCTCTGGGCCCCATCAGGCCCACTCAAGTCAATTTATAGTGACAGCCTCTGGCCACCAGAGGACTCCACACCCATGGCCATAGATGTGCAGTGCTCCATATACAGAGGGCGCTCTGAGGCTCAGAGAGGGGTGAGACCTTGCTGTGGTCACACAGCATATCTACTGTCCCACAAAGAGTCACTACTACCCTCTCCTGACGCCTGAAGACCTCTGTGCCAAATAACTTGTCCTCCCTATGTTTTCCTCATCTCTCCACAATGCCTTGGCCATGGACAGGAATCACACCATCATTCTATCCCAGGCCACCCGAGGGACATAGAAGGACTCCTGGGCACAAGAGAAGGGTGACAGCCCACCCTCTGGGGTCGCTCAGTGTTGCTACCTAAATTCCAAGGGGAAGCTCTGGGCTGGTGACCAGAGTTCACATCCTGATTCCCACCCAGCTCACTGTGGGACCTTGGGCCAGTCCATTGTCATCAGTGGCCTTTGGCCCATGTGGTGTGGGGTGCCACAGGGCAGGTGGCACCTGCCCTACCACATGATAGGTGCCGTGAAATATCTCAGCCCAAGCAGGTCTCTTCAGGGTAAAAGAAGCTTGCAACGCCTCGGACAAGGTGTTGGTGTGGACATTTTCTATTCTAGTGGGTGGCTCAGGGCAGGGCCACAGTCAGGAGGGCTGAGGGTGGACAGGGTGGGGCAGACTCACCTCCCAGAGCGAGCCTTCCTCTTGAAGCACAGCCACCAGCATGCCAGCTGGGATCATGAGGCAGGACAGCAGGCCCATGAGGATACCCAGCAGCTCGGCCCAGGCAGGGAAGCGGTAGCTGCCATACTCTGAGGGCTGGTACTTGACGATGCTGTACACCAGCAGAGCCTGCAGAGTGGGGGGACTCCCAGCATCACAGTGGGCCTCAGATGGGCCCCAGGGCTTGGGATAGCCCAGATCTGAGATACCTTAAGGCTTGAGATAGCCCAGGCCCATCCCAAGGACTGAGAGTCCCGTCCAGAGCCACCCAGTGTGCTAAGCTCTACCAGAACCTGAGATAGCCCATCCTGGGAGGCTTTGCAAGGCTTGAGCTAGCCCAGCTCCAAGCTGACCCAATACCAAGACCTGCAACAGCCCAGCTTTGAAGTACCCTAATCCTGAGATGGCCTGTCCCTGAGCTGCTCCAACCCCAAGACTGAGAAAGCATAGCCTCAAGGCCCCAGCCCTGAGGCCTGGGAAAGCCCCACGCATTTTGCCAACCAAAAGCAGGGCTGGGCCCAACACAGCTTCTGAAGCTGGGGCATCAAGAGGGAGGGGAGTGGACCAGGATCCAGGTGCCCACCTCACAGCCCTGACAGAGGCCCCACTCTGGGCCAGGATGGCCCTACCAGACTAAATGTGCAGAAGGGACCTCTGCTGCCAGCGTTGAGGCCCCAGCCAGCAATCCTCCCTCCCACACCTACTTACCAGGAGCGTGGCCGGGGACAGGAACAGCCAGCAGGCCCTGAAGTAGAGGCCCGGCTTGAAACCCAGCATCATGTGGATGTCTCGGCAGAACCTCCGGATACCTGTATGGGGGAGGGGAGTGAGAATGGCCTCACTCGCAGGCTCTGCAAGCGCCAGCAGCCCCTCCTCCAACCCAACTGCCCCATCAGAAACCCTGGCCCTTGGGACCAGAGACCCAGGTGCACGGGGGCTTCAAGGTAGATTCCCATTCTCCCACTGCGGGGAGCCTCGACTTCCCCCCCACCGGCCCTTCTCACCATACACCCGGGTAACGGCGAGGCACGTGGTGATCACCACCACCATTAGCCCGAAGCTAGCGCTGTAGTCATCCAGAAGGACCAGCCAGTACATGCCCCCCTAGAACACAAGTCACAGCGCTGAGGTACCCTCTCCCAGCCTCGCTGTCTGCTGCAGCTCCCTACTCAGATGCTGTCTGCTCCTGCCGTCCTCCTGCAGCCTTATGAACACTCACCTCGGTGGTGAGGATCAGCCCCATCAGGTACATGGCCACGCAGATGAGCCCCGAGAACACCACCTTCTTGGGCCTCAGGTAGTATGGGAACTCATCTGTCACAGCTGTCACAATGGTCTCCAGAAAAGCAAACTGTGGAGGAGAAGAGGGTTGGGGTCAGAGTTCTGCTCCCTCTTCCCCCATGAGGTACACACTACTGTGGACAGGGCTCACCTGGCTGTCCAAGCCGAGAGTCAGAAGCATGAAGAAAAACAGGAAGGACCAGAAGGGCGACAGAGGCAGCATGGTCATGGCCTGCGGGTAGACAACAAAGGCCAGGCCGGGGCCTGGGCCAAGGGCACAGGGGGTCAGCAGCTTGCAGCATGTGGTGGGCCCTGATATACATACTCAGACACAAATGGTCGCTTACACCCACTTGGGCACACTCATTTAGCCAAACGTAAAGGTGCATGCTAAATGCACACTTCTGACACTCTGACTTCTGAGACTGAGGCTCGAGAAGTTGTAGGACCTAACTCCCAGGACACAGGCCAGCACTCTGTAGGTGCTCAATAAACACAGGTTGATAGAATAAATGACTTAATAATGAGTACATGAATAAACACAAGACCCAAATACACAACCTCATTACAATACACTTATGAATATAATCTTTACACAAATAATCCCAACAATACATACACTTATACACACTATGGCACAAGACACAGCGATTCACAAAATCACTCATACTCTGATACACTCACACACAGACATCTCAACACAGGGCATGACTCACTGGGACAAACAGGACACAAACATAAGACAATCTCATATGGAAACTCACTTACCTCCTGATACAGGTTAACGCACACTCATTTGCATGTCCATCCCTCCGCACATGGACACTCAGATACCAGCTAAGACATGTATTTGTAGGCACATGCATGCACGTGTGTGCTCACACAATGCCCTCACAGACCCATCCGTAGTCTTGCTGGTTCACACGTGCTCACTGGCCCTGCCCCAGCTGTGCCCAACACATGACCTCACCCACCTGCTTTGGCTACTTGGTCCACAGGTACACCCAGCTCCTGAGACATATAGCCCAGCACAGAGAAGATGGCAAAGCCAGCCAGGATGCTGGTGATGGCATTGCCCAGAGTGACGATGAAGGTGTCTCTGCCAGGAGAAGTCCAGGCACAGGCCAGGGTGAGCCAACCTTCCCTCAACCCACTAGGCCCTCCCTGCCCAGCCGCCCTCCTCCCTGCTTCAGTCCCCAGGATCTGGGAGGCTGCAGGGCACTGACCTATAGATGTTCTGGTGAAATGTGTTGTATGAAGCAAAGGTGAGTAGTCCCCCAAAGCCCACACCCAGAGAGTAGAAGATCTGAAGAGCAGCTTCGATCCATACCTGTGCCAGGGAAGGGTGGAGAGGAAGAGCAGAGAGAAGGGGCCAGCACACAGCACTGTGCAGAGGGCCAGGGAAAGAGAAGGAAGGAGGCGGGCAGAGACGGAGCCATAGGTCCAGAGATGGCGCGGTCAAGAGCCTGGCTCACAAGTGACATGGGCCAGGAGCAAACCTTGCTCTTCCCCTCTTTGGGCCTCAGTTTCACACCCAGGGTCTAGGAGATGATCTCTAAGCTTGGTCTGGTTCTGAAGAAAGTAGTGCCTAATGTAAAGTTTTCAATAGATCTGTATTGACAATAAGCCCTTGTGGCCCCTTTATTTCCTCCCTGGGGTCAGAAAGACCTGGATCCCAGCTTCACCACTTTCTGTCTACACAGCCTGGGAAAGCCATATCACCACTCTAGACCACAGGTCTGTAATGAGGGGACAGGTACAGTGCCTACCTCATAGGGGGATGGTAAGGATTAAACTACTACATATGTGCAAAATGCTACAGCAGTGTCAGCCACAGTCACTGGTCAATAAATAATCAGTGTTAGCTGGCAGTACTGTGTTGTTAACATCATTATTACTAATGCTCTCTTTGGGGTTTGGTGTCAGATCTGGGCTGGAATCCCAGCTCTGCCACTCCTTCGCTGTGTGACCTTAAGCTTATCACTAACTCTTTCAGGCCTCAGTTTTATCATCTGTAAAATGGGGAGAATAACATCTGCTCATAGGATTGTCAAGGATAAAATGTAAAAGACACACAGGAAGGGCAGAACACAGAGCTTGGCACTGGGGGCTCACCACCTGAAGCATTCCTGCCCTCTGCCCCCTATTTTCCCCAGGGAGCCCTCCTTCCACTCCCCAGCTCAGGCCTGAGCCCTCCCTCTGCACCCCATCCCTGAGGGCCTCACCTTGGAAGACAACAGGTGGTGGAACTGGGGGGTGAGATAGAACTGGATGCCCTTCCAGGCCCCAGGGAGGGTGACTCCGCGGACCAGCAGCATGAGCAGGATGAGATAGGGGAACGTGGCCGTGAAATACACCACCTGAGAAATGGTAAGCAGGGAGCCAAAGGCAGGGGAACTCTCCTCCTACGCTGCTCCTCTCCCCGAGTCCTCGTCTTAGTGCCTCGCCTCCTCCACCTCTGGGTAGCCCAAGCCAGGACCCATCATCCATGATGCTTCTCTTTCTGTCCCTCCACACATCCAAGCCATCAGCACAGTGCTGTCACCCTGCCCCCCCATGGCCATCCCAAATCCATCTCCACTGCGGCCCCCAGGCCAGGCCACCATTGTCCTTGCCTGGATGGTTATAGGAGCCTCTCCTTCCATGTCCACTCCCTGCCCCCTGCACACGCATTCCACATGGTCATCAGGCATTCGACGTGCCCACACTACCCTCTACCCTCTCTCCTCCCTGGCTCACCTTCCAGCCACTGCTCCAGCAAGCACCATCAAGTCCCAACATCCTACCAGCCCTGATTCTCACCATGACTTCCTCACCCCTCTTTCTAAATGGTTTCTACCCTATCTTTTTAGTCTTTCTTTTAATGGCTCTGTTCCTTGTAGACAACACTTCTCGGCACTTTGCAGAGGAATAAGTTTTACTTTACAAATTATTTCATAAACCATTCAGAAGGTTTCCAAGTCCTCTGACATGGTGTTATCACCCTTCCAGTCCCTTCATCACCTAAAGTGGCCCTGTGTGGCTCTGTCTTCCCAGTATCTAGTTTGCCTTCTTCAACTAATAGCACCCCAACTTTCCCTAAATGGGATTGACTCCCTTCCCAGCTCCAGGGGGGCCACATGACCCAGACTCCCACCAAGCAGAGCATTCCACCTGCCCAGCCACAGAGATTGGTTCAGGGATGGGCACATGGCCCAGCTTACCCAACAAGACTCAATTCTAGGGTATTTGCAAACTGGGGAAGGAGACAACCCTTCACCACACAGGTGACATGTAAGCCTGGAGCTGACAGGGGCAACCTCATGAAGAATGAAGCCTCAGAAGGAAGCCAACCCAAAGGAAAGCATTACTGAGAGACTGAGAGAACCAGATTGCTGATGACATCAATAGAACTCCTAGACCCAGCTGTGCCTGAAGCACATCTTCTGGACTTTCTAACTGAGTGTGACAATGGGGCTTGGGTCACATGCATCTCAAAGAGTCCTGACTCATATACCCACCTTCCAAGCATTCAACAATCTCTTGCTGACCCCCTTCAAGGTGCCAAGCACTGGGTATGGATACAGACATATAGATCCTGAGCGTGGCAAGCCTCTCATCTAGTAAAGCAGCCCGGCCCTCTGTCCATCCTAACCTCCACGTTTCTGCAGTGCCTTCTCCATCTCAATGCCTTTTTCCTTCCCCTCTTTCAGCTGAAGTCTATTCATCTTCTCAGACTCAGTCTATACCCTGCCTCCTCTAGGAAGCCCTCACCCTACCCACCCCTCAGGCCTCTGGGGCCCCCAAGGCTTTACCTTGCCCGAGGACTTCACCCCCTTGAGGATACAAAGGAACACGATGACCCAGGCCAGCAGCAGGCAGAGGCAGAGGTTCCAACGAATCTCCCCAGGACTGCCGATGCCCTGGCTGCCTTGGATGTGGAGGACGTAGCGGCTGTGGAAGACAAAGATCTGAGTTCTGATCACCCTGCCATTTTCCACAGACGTGGAGTAAAGCTTTGTCCAGCCTATGAGGCCCTAGTGGCTATTTTCCACTCGACACCTCTCCCGATGCCTATCTGTCCCTCTCTGGCCATCTCTGTTCTCAGGAGGCTGGACTCTACAGACCCCATCACCTGGGCTCCCCTCCTCTTGGGCTTCCATTTGGGTTCGGCTGATGGGAGGCAACAGCAGGAGACTGGAAGGTGGGGGGAATGAGCAGTCTGGGTATTTGCACACACACGTGTACACATGTCTGCTGTGGCTATGTTCTTCTGTAGCCACAGTTCTTGTTGGCCAGCCCCTCTTCCCAGGCTCCAGTTCTCCCCTGGTTCCTTGCCCTTGCCTCCTTCAGGGGTGGGAACAGCTCTCCCTATTGCTAGTCCCTGGCCCTTTGTACAGTCCCTCCACTAACTAAACCCCCTTCAGCTGAGCCCTCTGACGGTGCCATCTGCTTCCTGCCCCCACCCTGACTGATGCAGTGGGGCAGGGCCGTGGCATTGCCGTGGAGACCACTGGCAGTTACCAGTGACCACATCAAGTTCTGTGGCTTTAAGCTGCAAACCCAAGCCTGTCCTTTCCCACTGGTCAGAGATATTCTTCAGCAGGTGCAGACACTTAAGATGGACTTGAAATGGACAAACAAATGGACTGTGTAGTACATGAAGGTTGAAGAACAAAACATTTCAAGACATGGGGCCCATTTTGGGAAAAATTCCTAAGAGCAGCCCTTTGCAGGGAGGGGCTGGGGGTATCTAGCCTGTTCTCCTGCCAGCCAATGGTCCCCACCCAGGGACCAGGCTATTGTAGAATGTTCCAGAACAGGATCAGAAATCAGGAGTCCTTAATGACAGTACTGCCTCTGACACTAACTACTGAGGAAGCCTCTGGGCCTTGTTTTCTCAGCTATAAAGTGGGGGCATTGAGATAGGTTGATGAGCAGCGATGTCCTCTAACACCCACCATTCCCAGGGCTCACAAGGTGCCTGGCACTGATATCAGTTTCACCTTCATTGCCTTGTTTAATTCTCACAACAATCCCGTACTCTATTATAGTCTTATCTCTCCTGTTAGACGAATCTGAGATGGTCCTTAACATGTGTGGACCTGGCCCTATGCTAAGTGCTTGACCTATTGATATAGTAGGTGCTCAATAAATATTCATTAAAAGAATGAATGAATGAGGGCTGGCTGGTTAGACACCAAGGTCAAGGGTTTGGATCCCCACACTGGCCAGCTGCCAAAAAAAAAAAAAAAAGAATGAATGAGGGAATAAAAGATTGACTGGAGGATTACATCCTGTGAAATAGCTACTGTTATCAGTGAAGGAAACTGAGACTCCAAAATGTTACTATCACTGTTACCATTATCATAATCTTTATTATCAGCCAGCCTTTACC